GAGGCTATTTCTTGGATTTCATTGCAAAGACTAAAACTGAAATACTTTACGTGCATTCTAAGATCATAAGACGATTACATCTTCGTGGAACGTAAACGAAACTTCGATTTCATTAAATTTTTTTTTTTTTACTTTTTAATCTTAATCGCAACGTTAAGCAATAACATATACCATAATTTTACGACTGTATTAGCGGCGGGCGCTTTCTCGATTGGTAGCAGTCTTGGACATTGGTCACAGTTATATCGAGCATGAAATCGACCGCTTTTAAGATTCGAACGGTTGCCAAGCGAGATGATGCGATGCGATACGATGCTTCTTTTTATTTGTAAGAGTCGACCCCTCACGTTATTGATATTGCTCATAATGTTCGCAACTCGTGCAGTTGCGTAGTGATATAAATATCCGATTAACCATCAATTGCCTAACGATCGAAGCAATATGTATTCTGGTGAACCATACATGCTGCTCGTAAATTTAGATCGTCCTGTCATTAATCGAACTAGTAGCATAATCTATTAACAAAGGAGGAGTCAAAGCTCAACATTTAAATAAATGACACGATTTTCTCTTCAAAAATAAAAGTTACATGATTTTTCCCGAATAATCAAATTGTATTCTAATAAAATAAATATTATATTTTAATAAAAATAAAACTCTAGTGAAATATATTTTATATATGCACATCCGATACGTAATAAATTATAAAGAGGAAAGAGACTGTTTTTTTGTAAGACTGGAGATAAATACTATTTTTTTTTTAAATTGTATAATTTTTTGATAGTCCATAGCCGTACAACTTCAAGTTTATTGACAAAGATTACATGGTTTCGAAGAGAAAGGATTGTGTTATTTCGGTCGATTGCTAACATTCCATCGTGTCAGATCCTATCGACTTCTTCGCGCCGCTCAAGTTCATAGATAACAGTTTCACGGCTGACGGTCCGCGACCGCCATTATATTTACGGTGCCGCATAGATGCCGAAGTTACGAGGTATCTCCTCTCTCGTGACGCCTCGCAAAAATTGTTGGTTGCACTCCGCGCTGTCGTGAACTCTGCGTCGCTCTTTTAGCTCTTAGCCTGAAATTATACGTTTGCGGCGCCGACAGTGGTCTATCGGGCACGTTTACGTTTATTTAGTGTCGGTTTACATTAATGCGAATTATTTCTCGTACGATACATACCGCGATCAGAATTAATGTACGGTGTAGGTTACTCGTCACGTTAAACGTTGCGTAGACGAACAATAAAATATTATTAGGCACGATTATGCCATATAGCTGATCGATATGTCATTCACAGGTGTCATTCAGTTTTTTGAAAAATTGTCCCTCGTGGCTTATAGTCGTTGCGATGCAACGAACGTTTCAACCGCAATCTTCACTCTCCCTCTAATTAAATGCAAAACAGGAATAAAAGAGGATAATAATTCTCAGATTAAATTCATTAATTTATTAATTTATTTTATTTTCCATTATTACTATAAAAAATATCAAGGCGCTCGCGTGTGCGGTATAATTTAAAATCGATTTCTTGTTCGTGTCACACTTCTACTATTATTATCCGTGTCTGACGTGCAATGACGCGGTGAGATTTTTCTTTTTTCGCGTATCGGCCGACCGATAGCGCGATCGCGAGGAGGTTTCAGACGCGGAGCAGAACAGAAAGAGAGGGAAAAACGGTAAAATGTCACTGTTCCCTAATTACACCGGGTAACTAGCCGGGCCGCAGGAAGAGAGACGCATGGAAACATCGCGGCTCCGCGGAGGCAGTCGATCCCCCAGGATGGAGCCTCAGTACCGCTAGATCTACAGGCCAATCCACGAACGCCTTTAAGCGGCGTTCTCCAATCGTTCTCCAGTTATAACCGGCAAGCAGTTGCGACCACCACTCGACCCGCTCGGTTTATAAAGTCAGGCGGATGCGTTGCCTCGAAGACAGAGCCGTGCCGACAGTCCAGCCAACAGGAGCGTCTTTTTTTTTTCTCACGTCGAGAAAGCGATCGGAACGTCGGGTGTTCGAGTCGCGTATGATCGGCCCGGTGTCGAAAAATCCTGGCGGAGAAATCACCATCGATTACGCCGGTCGATCTCCGCCACTCTCGCTCGAGAGGCAGAGACTTTTCGGACTTCTCGAACAAGTTTTTGAGAAAGGAAAAAAAAACGACATCAGTGATTTAGAACTATCGAGTGATTAGAGACCGGGGTGAAATCTAGAGACTCAGGATCAGTGGATAGTCGGCTAAGGTACGTGCGATTCTGGTGCTAACGCTAGTGCGAAAAGTGTCGCATCTGTTTCTTACGGAAGGCACAGCCGACGGGGTACCTCGACGTGATGATAAAAAGTGTCAACGACCAAACGGGTTCGTTGAGTGCGAGACGCCTGTGGCTAGAGAAGATCGCTTAACGATTCTGCGGATCTCGATCCTGCGAGATATCGAGGAGTGATTGCGCGCGGAGAACGTGCAGAAGTTCACGGCGAAGGTCCTCCTCGGCGGTGCCTTAGGTGAACGTTCGTTGAGCCGATCGACCTCGAATTGCGCGATGCGGCGCACTGATATATCCCGTAACAGTGAGGATCTCATTCCCAGTGCTCCGAAGAAAGATGGAAACGTATACGTTATACGATACGTATAACTTGCGTTCACGGGAATAGGATTTACTCTTTCTAAATTTATCAAAAGTAAATTTGCTATGGGTAATAACGACGGTAATACAAATCTCATCTATGTAAAATATAAGTTTCTCGTCGATCGCCGGCACCTCTCTGGCGACCGCCATTCCCACGATGAGAGCTCGGTTCAAAGTCAGGGCCGTAGCTGTTGAGCAATCGCTCGGTAATAGCACGCGGACGTTACAAAAGCGCACGAACTACGCCCCCCCCCGAGAGGAGATCTCGTGTCTCTCAAGGATGAGATAATTAATTTTCTTGTACTTGAACCTCCACCGAGATGCACCCCATCGCGGGGCTCGTATATCTCAATAATAACGCAATGTTGAAATCTCTTTTAATATTCAACAACGCGCCGCCGCGTTCCTCCTTTTTACAGGTGTATTTTAGGAAAAAAAAGATACTGTTAATTTTTAGTAGTTAGTATCCCATATGGATGCCTACTACAACGTGTGGTTGTATGTGACGTGACCACAGCGCTTCAAAGGGGTATTGTTACATAGCAACGGCTACGTACGCGGGTACGGTTTCTTTAAAATGCGAGACGAGTGTGCGGAGGCTGTAGCTGAGAGCGCGAAAACGAAACTCATTTCTCTTAACCGGTGTGTGATGCATACGCACTGCTCGATTCTCGGTCTCGTTCACGGGCGTTGATTTGCCTCACGTTCATGGATTAACTCTGCACTCGCGTAACGAATGGGAGAGAGCTCGATGCCGCGGAATGGAATAGCCCTTCAAGGCCGAAGAGATTATTCTTAGTTGAACGCAAGAAAATAGACGTCTACAAGTGACTTCGATGTCGCAGTACAATTACTTCTAGTCTTCATTCGCGATTTATTCAATATTTTTCAATGATTTTTCAAGTTTATAACTTAAAGGAAGCTATACAAGGTCTGTTTATAAAACGCGCATTGTTTAGCCAGAAATACCATCGTTTTTAAAAACGAACACACTCAAGATAAGATGTGTTTAATTTCGTTTTATTCTTTCCACGTGTCCCGAATTCATGCTGGTACTCATGCATCGCCAGTCCATCGACCTATGAGTCAGGAAATACCGAATACTCGTTTGTGGGATCAGTAATCAGTTACATTTGCTCAGCAGAGTATAAAATTAAACGTTAAAAGGTACGCTACAACGTTCAATGCCAAAAATTTTCAAAACTCGAGACGATCGAGACAATAAAAAATATATAAATAAATTATTCTTCTATCCAGATGTTGTACTAGATATAACAGTTAAATTAAAATCTGTTCGAATTCTCCGCGATTATTTATTTGCTGAGCAATTGTGCCGCGAGAATCTCATCGCCAGCTGTACTTTCAGCGATGAGCGTAGTTCTCAATACGGAGAGTTCAACGCCAGGGAAGCGTAACGTCTTCCGATACTCTCCGCACTACAAAGACTCTTCCGCGAAATTTATGAATCATTTGTTTCCCGAAGTAGCACAGGTTTTTAGTGCCTTCATCTCTAATAATTTTTAACGAGTGCGATTTTTTTAAGCATAAGATGATATTTCTCACATTAATTTAATTTTTTCTATTTAAGTTTGACAAAAAATGCGAGACCGTGAATACAATTTGTATGCAATACATAGGTATAACGTTTACTATTTTCAAAGTACTTATAATATTCGTTTCGTTCAGGAATTACACACGTACGATGGAGACTTGATGAATAATGCAGATGTTTTTTTTACACATGTGTGAGCAACGTGACGAAGATATCAAAATTTTGTCTGTTCCGCACCGTTTCGTTATTCCGTGCAAAAGAAGACCCCTATACAAAATTTTATGTTGCTTAAACTTTAATTAATAGCTTTAGTTAATAGGAAACTTAACAAACCTCATTTGTGTCCATTCTTTTTATATAGTTATATAATAGACTTGTAATAAATATATATAATAATATATTTAATAAAAAAAATAATTTTATTAAAATAATCTATTAATATTATATACAATAGAGCCCACGTGTGAACTTAAGCAATATATAATTATAAATCTACTTTCATTACGTAGTTCTACGTAGCTGCAGCTACTTATAAAATGTGCTTTAATTACTTACGAAATGCGTTTTAATTATCTACGCATAATATATCGCAGCTTGCACGATCTTGATTAAATCTCAGAGAAGATGAAAATTACTAGACACATTTTCCAGCGAATCTCATTACGCATAGCAATTTTGATCGTGTACTATATTCGCTTCTCACGTTTTGCTACCAGGTTATCCCCAAATACTTGGCAAGATTTTAATTTAAAACTAGTATTATGTTGATAATTACTGATCTACTAATGAGTCTCTTCTTACAACGCATGTTTTTTTCTTATATAATTTAGACTCTAGCGACTCCAACCGTAAAATTCAGCGATCCTTGACTACTACTTAGTGCAGAATATCACACAAAATTTTAAAAATGGACGATGTTAAAAGATAAATTTCTAAGTTATATTGGCTAATTTATTTTTGTTTATTATATGTATATATAAAAAATCAATGTTCATCACCGTCTACACCGTCTTTTATCTTACTTTCTAGGACGTAAAGTTATTTTTAGTAGTACATCAAGTTGAGCCAATTCGCTTTTTGATTATTAACGGATAATAATTCGCAACTGCCGCTTTATAAATGCTCTCTCATATTCCGCAGCCGTCTTATTGAGACTCGCATCTTAATCATCTTTCGCATTTCTTTTCACATTTTTTCGCTACCGTACGCTTATTAGTATACCCTCAATTTACCTCTGGTTATTACTACATTTGCTCCGCGATCGTATAACGTCTTTAGGAAAGCCCATTTGCGCGCGATCGTCATATAGCGTTCGGCTTTATTGGCCGACTGCCCCGAATGATCCCCTGTAATTCCCTGTGATGTTGCACCGAGAGCGACCTTCGCTAGTAGAGCGTGCTTGAACTGCTTGATCATTGGTACGATATCTTGGTTTCTCAGAATTGCCCTACCTCCGCACGTAGGACAACAACCGATATCAAAATCCCATTAGCGTGCACGAGATCGCGACAATAGACAATTTAAACGAGGAAAGGGAGGACCCGGACAAAGTACCTTCGTCCCCAGGTGCAAAATCACCGCGGCGTGACCGGCTCGCTTTTCTTCGTCGTCGTCGTCGTCGTCGTCGTCGTCATTGTCGTCGTCGACATCGCTTCGATCACGGCATCAACCAGGATCGGTTTTTGCTTTATCGCTTGCGGCGAGATCCATACGGCGTTGAACTCAAATCAACGAGATGTCTTTGATCTTGGAAGCACGTAATGTTCTTTCGCAATTTGACGATGCTTGCAAATGGAATTTTTTAATTCTACGATGAGTTGACAGATAGATCATTTAACAAAGTTGCTTGGCATTTTTATGGAGCGATACCGTCCGTGAAATAGGAAACGTTATTTTTAAAGATGTCAATGACGATAGAGAGAGAGAGAGAGAGAGAGAGAGAGAGAGAGAGGGGGGGGAGGAGAAATTAAATGAAATAAAATAAGATGCACGCGATATTGTACATTTTTTAAAATATTTTACTTTAAAGCTTATAGTTACGTATTAATTTTAAAATGTAAAATAATGATATATAAAAAAGTGACATTTACAAGTGAAATACACGGAAATGCATACAAATGCGATGCGACAATAATGATGTAAAAATCTCCGCATCGGGACGCGAACGCCGCAGAGGTCATTATGATGCAGCTAAGTCGCGTGAGTCGTAACACGTGAGATTAACCTCGGAGGCTTTGCTTTAGCCGTGATTAAAGTCTATTCGCAAATCGTTTACCTCGTCAAGGAGGATTTTGCATTAGGGGGTTGCTGAAACATCGTATCTAAGGGGCGTAAGAACCCGGTTTCGCGCGCGGCGCGCATTCGAGTCCGCGCCCGCGAGTATGTTTTTCGTTCTCTCCTCTCTACCTTCTCTCGTTTTCCTTTTTTCCCTGACGTCGTTGCAAGCACGACCTGCCCCACTATCTCGCGCTCGAGCGACGGAGGATCTCTCGCAGGCGCCGCCTGGCCGTTGACCCCGAGCTGCCAACGGCCCTGACCAAGACTCCGTTTAGCTCGCACGCTCCTTCCATCTCCATCCACCGCTCTCGTGCAAACAGACCGACACATGCCCGGGCACGTCGTACGTGCGAATCCGCGATGATTTTTTTTTTTCCCCTCCCGTGAGCCTGAAAAGAAGTCAATGCCGTGCTCCACCTGTGGCGTGATCGCGGCGAATCCAGCCTCCCGCTCGAAAAAGACGACTTTGCGACTTATCGGCGGAAGGAAATCGCCGTTTACTTCTTGTTACGTCTTGTTACATCTCAGAAGAAGAGATATCCTGTCTTATTAAGAAAATTATAGGTACGCGCTGCTTTCTTTATTCGCGGCGGGATTTTGAAATTCGCTCGCGCAAGCGTGTATTTCGTATTTTTGATCGCTGACAAAGACGAGAGGGATCCTCGCTTTCTCTGATCGGCCACTCTTACGTGTTCGAAGCAGGTAGAGAGGAATGGGACCAATAACCGTAAAAAGAGGCATCCAGAAGATACCACGGGATATTCCAACAGGTTGTACCCGGTTGTGC